ACAATGTGTGTAAAATTCGTTGTCATTGCTTCTGTTTTGAATATCATGTTCGTGCCTCCCGGTGGAAAAAATAGGTAAATTTGCATTTATTTTCAAGAAAACATATCAGTTAAAATATATTTATTTCCAGAGCGACATACGGACAAGTAAGATGATAAATTTGTATGATGAATATCGCGGAAAAACTTTTGTATAAAAATTTATATTCTAATTTGCATTTGAATTATGATATCAACAGGGATGATTTGGGACGTATTTTTTGAAGACAATTTTCTCTATCTAATTTCTAAATCTTGAGATTGTTGATTTATTTTAGAATTAAAAAAGGTAGTTTATATTAAAAAATATATTTACACTAGCGGTATGTAAATTACTTTTATTCCGAATTGAAACGATTTTAATGAATATTCATGGTTACCATTAATAGTAGTATGACAGTTAGATCTAAATGCATATTTGACAAGAAAGATAGAATACAAGATTGCGCCGTCCTGGCGGCGAAGACATATCTGTACAAAAAGTAATAAAAGTCGAATTGGATGTTGAAAGAAAATGTGAGAACAGCAAATTTTCTTAATAATAAATTTTTCGATAAGGAACGTGTTTTGATTGTGCTAATTTGTAATAGCCTTATTCATAAACAATAAAGTAACTTAAAAAGGCTTATAAATTGAAAAATGTTTGTAAACGGCAATTTAAAAAGCTTTTTAAAATTTTTATTTTTTATTAATAAGGCAATAAAATTATGTGATTTACAATAACTTTTAACAAAGGAAATACGAAATAAGGTGATTTTTGGGGAAGTGGGTATTAGTGAATTTCAGTGCATTTAAAGTTTCTGAGGTTTCGTTTACTTTTAGATCAGAATTGTCAAAATTGAGAAATTCAAAGTAGCGATACAATAGTCATAGAAAAGAACATTGCGCCCTGCTGTGATGATGAGTAAATTTACCACAATGAGGAAGAATATAACAATTAAGTGAAAAAATTTTATTTTTACAAATTTAGTGAGCAGTAACGCGTTTCAAGAACGATATTTCAGACAAATCGTTAAGGAACAACTATTTTTCCTTCCCGTCTGCTTTGGTTTTGGCAAAAAAAGTTGATAAGCTCCTGCCGGCGATCAAGTCATTTCAACCATAAAATAATATTATTTGCAAGAACCATTCACTAAAATTGTAACTAACTTTTTATTATTTATTAATTCCTTTTTGATATTCAGCAATAACAAGATGGAAAAAAATTATAAACCAAAATTAGTAATATTTTTATGAATGCAGTTATAAAAGTTCACAGAGGAAACGCCGGAAAACAATGTATTGAGAACAACATAAAATTTATGGCAATTTAGATGTCAGCAGAATAATAACTACGATAAAAAAGCATGAGAGAGTGTGCGAGAAACGGTCAACAAATTTCTTATAAAATATTTTAATTTTTGCTGGGTATAAATGAAAACTCAATGAGTATTAAGGAAAAGAAAAATTTGAAAATAATAA